TTTTGTGCTGATTTTATCTGTTGTCAAGTTCTGTTTTGCAATTTTAATTTATTTTATGTATTTTATGACTATTGCTCCTTTTATTCATTTTGTTCTTCTGTAAGGTGACCTTTGGTTTTTGAAAGGCGCCCTCAAATAAAATGTATTATTATTATTATTATTATTATTATTATTATTATTAGTGAGCCATGCCTATTCATCTTAGTCGCTATGATGTCTGACAAGAGCTTCCATGTGGTACAGCAACCCAGTGGCAGGTTATTGGTCAGTAGTTGGATGGGATCGGTCCCTTCTGGGGGTCCTTGAGGATCGGGATCAGCACTGTCCGGCCTTCAGTTAGCCATTCCAGGTGTCTCTCATCAACTAGCAGCTGCACGCATGTGTGCGAGTGTGTCTGTGTGGGGGTGGGGTTTCCCGTGTTCCTGGTTTTCCTATTCCCAGTTTGCAGTTCAAGTTATGTTTTTCTTGTGTTTAGCATTTTTGTCACAGCAAAATAAATCTGCCTTCCTCAGTTATTAATCATTTTGAGTTTCAAATCTTGCATTTGGGTCCTCCCTCTCCCTCCTACACAGCACTCACATGACATTAGGTGTGGAGGCAAAATTCACCTTCTACAATTTAAGCAACAAAAAATATTAAGTTTTTAAAATTCTCTTTCACTGCTTGTGTTCTTCCTTTAAGGTGAGTAGATTCGGAAAAAATAGAATTTAGATGAGACTAACATTTGTACTCTCGTGTACTAATATTATTTTATTATCATTTCTATAAGGAGAGATCACTTGGAGGAATTGAACATGATTTATTGTGACAAAGAAATGAATGTAATTCGCGATAAGACTCTGATAAACCCCCCAGAATCTAGACGCTGGAGGTGGTGGTGAAGATGAAGACTGAGGCTTGAATAGAGCTTTGGCCGAGGTGCCTGAGGTGGAGATGGGGAGGAGGTGGGTTACATGAAAAGAAACTCAAAGAAATCAGACATGTCAATATTGAGATTGACAGCATGGGAAAGAAGCCAGGATGTAAAGAACAGAAATATCAATATTAATATTGCAAAGGTTCAGTTACTTTTGCAAAGTTGCTTCATGGAGCTACTTTTTACATTTATCTTACTTTTAATAGATTTCAGATCCTTTAATTTCTATTTTTACCTAAATAAAGAAGTTGGCTCAGTACTGTAACTTTTACTGGAGTATTTTTTTTAACGCAGGTGTCTGTACTTCTAATGTCAGTACTTTGCCACTGCTCTGTTTTGTATCTTACACTGTGATTAATGTTAAATGATCAATGATTTCCCCTCCCTTCAGGTGGAGTGGTGACTCCACTTTTGGGAGGACTATTACTTTCTGGGCATTTCTTCTCAAAACAAGTATATAGAATTCGATTTTAATTTAAAGGACCACTTTAAATGGCGAAGCAATAATATGACAGAGATCTTTAATTACATTAAGTGAGCCTACAGGGGTCGCTGAGAGTCAAAGAAACAAAGGGTCACAGCAAACATTGTTGCTTGCATAACATCGACATTTTCTTTCTTAAATGATATATCTGCACATCTGCATTACATAAATTTGTCTATTAAGCACCTACCCTATGTCACTCAAAGTACTGCTCATTGTATTGCATATCACACTAGTTTGACTCTACCTGGGATGCCAAAAAATGGGTGTTAATGGAATAATCTTCACATGCCACAGAAAAGACACATTTTCCCATGAGACAGCAGAAAAGACAAAACAGATTCACTGTATTTAAGCAACATTTTAAAAAGAAGAAACAGAAAGTGATGGTGCAGCATAAAATACACATTTTTACACACATACATCCTTTAGTTGGCACATTAAACACCTGAAAAATAGATGTATATTGTTTCAAGAGAATATATAAAAGATGTAAATTCAAATGAAAGTATTTACACACTGAACCAACAGTTCATTTGTGCCTGCTTAATGGATCAGTGTTCAGTTACTCTTAACAACAGAGCTGTGAAAAGCTGTGAAAGCTACATTCTGAATAACAAAAGTCTTCTGACTGGTGTCTTTCTTTCTGTTCTTCCTGCACAGTTTTTCACAGCACAAAAGATTAAACAGATGCTTTTGCGAATCCTGTGAGATCATATACAGCAGCGAGTTCATACAGCAGTGAGAATAGGCAAGCATTTCACAGATATGGTAGGCAACTGCTAACCGTTTCAGTACCTTACAATCTTTGTTTGTATTGAGAGACTTGATTAAAAGCATAATATGGTATGGCCCCCAGCAAATGAAGAAAGCTGCAACAATACACAACAGCAAAGCTACAGCCCTGTGCTTCTTTTTCTTTAAACCTTGTAAAACTGTCTTGAGGATTGAAGAATAGCAAAAAATAATAATGGGAGGAAGAATAGGAGTGATACTTGGAGATAACGACCAAGCTGTTCATCAGATCCATCCTCACAATAGTTAAAATCATATCAGTTTACCACCTTTACTTTTATGGCTTCACTCAGGGATGCTGAGATGCTGATGACCCAGGCAGATATACAAGCACCGACTGCATACTTCTTTCTAGCATGGTTGCTCGGCCACTTGTGCAGCACCACGAGAATGAAACGATCCACTGTCATGGCAGTCAGTAGAATGACACTGCTGTACAGCCCAACAAAGAATGCGGCAGTCAGAAATTTGCAGACAAATTCCCCAAAGACCCAGTGGTGCAAATGATCAACAGCCCAGAATGGAAGTGTGATGGTGAAGATCAAATCGGAGCAGGTCAGGTTCAGGATGAAAATATTTGTGACGCTTGTCAGTTTCTCGTAGATGAAGAGAACGCATAAGAGGAGACCGTTGCCTATGAGACTGATGATGAAGAGTGTCCCAGTTGAAATTGGAAAGTCAGTCTCACAAAGAAATGCAGCCTCATTGATTGTGAAGTTGTTTGCCATTGTCTGTTTCTAGAAAACATAAACACAAAGCTAAATTTTTTTCTCTAAAATGACACAAACTGTTGCTTTTAGTTTTAGTTTTTTCATGTTACATAAACCATGCATTCTAGTAAAGTACAAAATTAGAGGAGCAAACACAACAATTTACTTCAAGCATCTCTTGTCAAGTCTTCTGTTGAATTGAGCTGTGCTGACAAAGCTGTAATGTACTTAAACAAATCGGTGTTCCTCTTTTTGTTTCAAATTAAGTCAACGATGCCTCCTTACCAAAGGTCACATTTTTTTAAGAAAAAGAATCCATATGCAATCCTTTTCTCATAGTGAAACTGAAAGTTGAAAATGAAACTCAAACTGTCAAGAACCATAGTTCAAGCACACAAGCTGGACCCAGAAGCAAACACAATACGCAGAGATGCACGCAAAATAAACTTTATTTCTGAACTAAGGGTGTCCCGGAATGGTCAAAGGAAAACACGCTGAGTTAATGTTAAAACAAAGGGACCGGGAGACAAACAACTCGGGAACGCCATGATCAGGACCGTGGGAGGCTGCAACAGAAAAGGCAAGAGAGTTACTGGGGAGCGGGGAGATAACAGCATACACGGGGTAGAGTTATTTATCTTATGATCAGGGCTGGGCCGTGGGAACCGGAGAGAGGGGTGAGGGTCTGCGGGAGAGCTCCAGGGAGACGGAGGAGATGATGACTGGTGGTTTATTCGAACTCCAGGCGGGCAGGAGGACAGGCAGATGTAGGCTCAAACACACCGAGCGATAACCGCTGAATGGTGACTAACGGACTGGCATGGAGCAGCCAGCTGAGCGGGGGTTAAATAGTCCTCCTGATGATCGCCTGGAATGGGATGCAGGTGTGGAGACGACAGCCACACCCGTAGTCGTGGGTATCCCATCTGCTCCTCAGACACCGGGCCGCGGACCATGACACAAACTGACTGTTTGGAACACAAATGTTTGAATATTTTTTTCTCATACTTATCAGGGACATATAACGGTGCACAAACATGCTGCACAGATCAGAACACACATAAACATAGATGTATGATTGTTTTTTGTAAAGCATGAAAATGCTGACTACATAATTTTTATGTAAAAGCACAATACCAACCATTGTGTTGGTAAGAAAGTATTTCCTGCTGATAAAATGAAATGGATCCATGATATCATCAAAGTGACAGATTTATGATATCTCTGATGGTATGCCCAGTGTAGTAGATCAACATCGAAAGTTTTCCGTTGTAAAACTGCACGGTTTTATAGCAAGAATAGATAACTACAAAAAACTACATGAAAGATACCAAACAAAGCACATCATATTACACGTCAATTAACTTAGAGTGGTCCAGATATGCAATACAGAAGTCAGAGTTGACTATTAAGAATGCATGCAAAAAGACTGACACCATGTTCGCAGGTAATTCCCAAGTGAAACTAGATTTAAAAGAAGACTGAATTTCTCAAACTGAAATTTGAAATCAGAGCATGTTAACATATTAGACAAACAAAGAGAGAAGTCAATAAGCTGTTGATCAGTTCATGCATATAATTTAAATCATCAACTGAGAGTCAGCCTCTTCTCATACAGAGAGAAATACAAAAGCAGGAGTACCAACAATCAGCAACAAGATCTCAAACTGAGACCAAGGCAGCGGATAAATAAACAAAACCGTGACAGCTACAGAACTCCAGGTGTCCAGGTCTGACCAACAAAGTCAGTGTGCCTTCACCCGAATTCTACTGACACACACAAAAGTAAATCAAATGATCTGAAAATGAAAGTCTTAAATACCCATTAGTTATTGCAGTAACACCCAAGCCCATGTTAATTATTCAGTTCATAATGCGAGACCTTTCTTTTTGCCTTTGTAATGAAATAGTAAAAAGAGTTCACTTTAATTTCACACCCATATAAGATCCAGAGTCATTTTTTCAAAAACATTTTCCTATATTTCTCTTTGAAACCTTTTAGATTTTAATTATTACATAAATCATTTCCCATTACTATGTTGTCACCTTACTCAAAAGAGATAAAATGCCACGGAGAGCTTACCGTGTGCTTGCACTCCATGTGACTTTAGGTACTGCTCAATGAGTCTCTCCATGGTTGTGTTATTGCACTCATACTTGACCAGTCTGACTCTATCAGCCATCACAAAAATCTTCTGTCAGTGCATTTCTTTTCCAACCCAGTCTATCCTGGCATACCATAAGAACAGAGAAGAGAAAATAGCTTCAACCGATTCTAGCAACATTTTCTTTTTTACAGGCACAGCTGATTAAAGCGGTGAAATACACATCTTTACACACATAAATCTTTGACTTTACACATTAAAAAATAATTTCAGGTGAATATATAAAAGATGTCAAATCAAATAAAAATAGTTACAGACTCAATTGGTGTTTAATTTCAACTGTGTATGTTTAATGGATGCAGTTCCAACTGAACAGCAGAACTCACAGTTGTGAAAGCTACATTACGAGTAACAGAAGTGTTCTGGCCAGTGTCTTCCTCTCTTTTCTTCCTGCACAGTTTTTTACAGCATAAAAGATGAAACAGATGCTTACGCATCTTCTGTGAGAGCATACATAGCAGAGGGTTCATACAGCAGTGAGAATAGGCAAGCATTTCACAAATATGGTAGGCAACTGCTAACCGTTCCTCTGCCTTACAACCTATCGGTTTATAAAGAGATTTAATTAAAAGCACAATATGGTATGGCCCCCAGCAAAAGAAAAAGGCTGCAACAATACACAACAGCACAGCTACAGTCTTGTGCTTCTTTCTGTTTAAACCTTGTAAAACTGTCTTGAGGATGGCAGAATAGCAAAAAATAATGATGGCAAATGGGAGGAAGAATAGCAGTGACACTTGGAGATAACGTCCAAGCTTGTCTTCAAATTCAGGCCCGCAATAGGTAACATTTTCCCAGTCTACTACTTTTACTATCATAGCATCGCTCAGGGATGCCGAGATGCTGATGACCCAGGCAGCTATACAGACACCAACTCCACACCTCTTCCTTTTAACTTGGTTGCTTGGCCAGTTGTGCAGCACCACGAGAATGAAACGATCCACTGTCATGGCAGTCAGTAGAATGACACTGCTGTACAGCCCAACAAAGAATGCAGCAGTCAGAAATTTGCAGGCAAAGTCCCCAAAGACCCAGTGGTGTAAATGATCAATGGCCCAGAATGGAAGTGTGATGGTGAAGATCAAATCAGAGCAGACCAGGTTCAGGATGAAAATATTTGTGATACTTTTCAGTTTCTCGTAGATGAAGAGAACACATAAGAGGAGGCTGTTGCCTATGAGACTGATGATGAAGATCAAGATGAAGAAAGGGCTAGTAAAAGTTGGAAAGTCAGTCTCACAAAGAAATGCAACATCACTCAGTCCATGGTCACTCATTGTGAAGTTGTTTGTCATTGTCTGTTTTCTAGAAAAAACATAAACATAAAACCAGATTTATAAAATGTATGTACATTACCTCTTCTTTTTCCAATAAAATGACACAAACTGTTGAGTTTTAGTTTTCACCTTATGTAAGCAACAGGGATAGAGAAATCACTTACCCAAATCATCAGCTGTCATGCCTTGTGGTCAGTTGCATTGTGCTGGAAAAGTTGTGAAGTTCTTGTGTTAACTTACAGTTCCTCTTTTTATTCACAGTAATTCAGAGTTGCAGTTTTTTCTCTTTTGCAAAACACATGAATATTGCTGATGATATTAAAATGTGATTATGAGGACAGTACCCAAAACTTGTTGGAAAGCAGTTATTTTCAGCTGAAAACTGGAAATATACAGCAAACCTTCAAAAAACTGACAATGATAACCTAAAATATACTTCTAATAATATGTACAGCATATTCAGTAGGTCAGTGTATTTTAAAATTGCTACAACAGAATAACAATAAAAGGTCCCAATCATATGAACTGCAAAACCTGAAAATAACTTGATGAAACACAGCATACACGTCACTGTTATTAAACTAAAACGTCACGCTCTTTATCCTAAGTTACACTTCCCGGTAATTGTTACCCTCCCATATAAAAATGAAAAAAATAAATAAATAAATAACCACCCCTTAGAAGGGATAGTATGCATGTGAATCTTAAGCTTTGGCTCTCTTCCAGAGGCCTGATAGTTTGAGGGTGTTGAGCAGTATCTTAGGTGTTCCTATGTCTGCAATCTTCTGGACAAACACCTCTGATGTTGTGCTGAAATCTGCTGGAGCCAGTCTTCCAATTTCAGATTTATAGCTTCTAATGCTTCCTTTACCACTGGGACCACTTTGGACTTTACCTTCCACATCCCGCTGTTGCTACAGTCCCTTGTACATCTCTATTTTCTCATGCTCCTTCTTTCTGATGTTGTTGTCCACTGGGATTGCCACATCTATCACAACCTCAGTCTTCGCTTCCTTGTCAGCCACCACTGTGGTGGTTGCTTGGCCAGCTGCTGCTTGTCTGTCTGAAACTGGAAGTCCCACAGGACATTAGCCCTGTTGTTCTCAACCACCTTTGTTGGTGTCTCCCATTGGGACTTAGGGACTTCAAGTCCATATGCAACTCAGATGTTCCTGTGCATTATCCCAGCTACTTGATTGTACCTCTCAGCGTAAGCTGTCCCAATTTGCATTTTACATCCTGCTGCAGCATTGATAATAAAGACCAGTTTATTAAATCCAGTATCCAAAATGCTGGTGCATGCTCATTTTTACATTTATTAAATCAATTTGATTATTGGTAGTATCAATACCACTGCTGGTATCAATGCTAGCATGATAGGATCGATACTTTGTTTTGCTCCTTTACCTTTAGTGCGTTGCTCCCAGTCATCAGAAAGTTGACGTGTCTGTGCAAACATCACTCCTCTCATCCTGCCTAACTTTGCGCCACCCCTTCTTCCCTGCTCCACTATGTTTAGTTGTCTTGTGGTCAGGTGACTCAATCGCACAGAGCTGTAGTGAGTGAGAAAGCGCAGCATTGTGTAGAAGTACTTCACAACTGCAAATAAAAACACTGCGAACACAAATCCTGTACTGTGACAAACTAGTATAAATAAAAAGAGCTTTCACACAGAATGAGCAGCAAAAGAAACGAAGACAGGAGGAAGTAAATCCCTCAGACAGACCCAGACCACCAGCATACAGAAAAAGTCTAAAGACATTCCAGGTCTCCCAAAAACACAAGGATAGTTATAAGGCGTGGTCTTGTGTTCATTCATTATCATGAAAAGTAGAAATCACAGTGATTTTTTTTAGTGGTTTTTAAAATGTGTTAATCTTGTAGATAATGACGCACCACTCTCCCCTTCATAAGCTGCTTTTATAAGTTAAAAGTATTAGTATACTGGCCCCGTATTTACTTGGTATCACATCAAAACTTGCACAGATATCACACACCACTAGCAGAAAGTCTAAAACAGGCTACGCAGCTTTCAATGAGCAGACTGCCTGCAGGTGTATGACAGAAAGCCCAGAAACGCAGCTTCACAGGAGGGCAGAAATCAGTTGGGATCCACCCACCAAACCACCTGCAACGAAACACAGAGAAAGGTACAAAGACCTGCTGGCTCGACCCTGTTTTAATTAATCTTTGATTTTCATGCAGCTGTTTCTTTTATTTAACTATTAAATCATATTTAATAATGATAAATGTTAGAAATACAGAAATAAACAACTTGCAGTTATATGTAATAATATATTAACTCTAACATGATTATGAAAACTCAAGATGTTGTATTAGTGGTTAAACTGGTTAAATTAAGGACATTCAGCAACCAGTTGGTTTTTTTTTGTTGGTGTTTTTTTGGTTATTTGTTTTTTGGTTATTTGTTTTTCATACATGCTAATCTGATGGCTGAGTCTGCACCTGCTGAACTTGCCTGCTTTGTTGAACTGAACATGCAAGGTGTTAACACGCTGGATCAATCGTTGAGCCTTTTCTATTATCATGCTAAGTCACACTTCACTCTAACTGATCTGCACCAGGAAATTTGTCCAACATGATTAGAAAGAGAAAATTGATCTTTCAAGTCGACAGGTCAAAGTGAAATTTGCTTACTTACTTCCTAGTTGCTTGCTTGTTGAAAAAGAAAGTATGCTGTTAAGAAAATATTAAAAGGTATCTCTTTCATATTAAATAAACTTCCACAAGATACAAAAGTTAGTTTTATTTTTTTTAAATCAAATGCATTGAGAATACTTTACATGAAATAAAATGTGAAAATAATCATGATATCAAATGTATAAAAAATAACTTTGAAAGTGATTTTTTTGACAACAGAAAATGTAACACATGTAATCATAGAGACCGATCTACAATATCACTTCTACAATGTACAGTATAATCAACAGATCATTTTGGAGTAGTAGAAGTATAAAATAGAAGATTCTGATCAGAAAGTATATAAACACAGATAAAAAACATTAAGAAAAGGTATTGAAACACAACACATTACACAATGTCAAAATGAAATTGTCACTTCTGTTTCTCTTTATATGATGGACACCTTTGCAGTAACTGGTAGAATCCCAGTCTAACCACAGAACACCCTGAATTTTCTGTGCATGAAGCAGCAGATGTAGCATTTGTCTTTCTATAAAGCTTGACTAATTGAGCTGTTTTTTATTTATTTGCCATTTTGTACCACTCTCTACCAAAGAGGTAAACTATGAGAATGTTGGCTTTCTTTGTCTTACCTGGCTCAACAAAACTGAAAACCCATGTGGGACATAACGAATATTACAAAGGTGGTTAGCAACTTTCTCTGGTTGGGTATTCAGCGTGTTACTATGGTGATTTAGCCAGGTAAAAACAAAGTCACTTTCGTAACAGAAAACTCAGGTCACTAAGCCATTAATCTTGCTGTGTGGTACACCCCTTTGGCATCAACAAAGTCAGACTCTATCATTAATAGGTGCTGCCCATTTTTTGATCTTGTTACTGTTGCTTGTACTATATTAAGTTCAGCTAATTTATCTAATCAAACCCTCAAGCATCTAGCTGTCTCATCCTAATGCATGCATGCTACAGTAAATTCAAATTTCTTCCGCATTTTGGAGAGGGATTAATGCCATTGGACTGTCAGTTTTAGTTTCATCTCTGCACAGGGATAATGTATTGCACGGCATGGGAAGATACCTCCTAAACCTTTGTACTCCTATAAAATGCACCAAAGGGATAAAGCAGCAGTAGATGTCAATGATGGGATGAATGATCAACCAAGCATAGTGCAATGCATATATCAGTTCACGTGTGTACTCATAAAAATCCAATAGTAGCAAGGACTGTATAAACATGTGGATGCTAGAAGGAGCCAAACATAGAAAAGTACTGACAGTTATGCCTAAAATCAATTTTGAAGGCTGTTGTTGGCTGTTTATCCTGCCCTGCTTCGCCATTATCCACATGTGAACATAACAGAATGAAGTGATAAGGACAGGAATGAGAAAGAAAAGAAAAATCTGTGTGTAGATTTCAGTGAGTTTCATGGTTAGTGACTCCACCAAATTTACACACACTTTAATGTCAGCAAATTCAATGACTCGACAACTCACAGCCAGTTTAATGCTTGCAGCAGCACACACCAGCCACATCACAATGCTACCTATGAGAACACCATATTTTGTTAAGGCCTGTGCAGACAAGCACCAAGGCTGAACCACAGTAACATAAGAATGCAAAGACATGGCAGTGAGGATCACCACGGCGGTGAACAGTCCCAGAAAATAAATCCCTACACCTACTCCGCAGGCCCACTCTCCAAAGACCCACCCATGGAGTGCATTACAGGCTGCAAAAGGCAATGTCACAGTGAGGCAGAGGTTAGAAACTGTGAGCTGAAGAAGTAAAATATCCGATGTGATCTTCCAAGCTCGTTCCGTCCAGAGGACCCACAGCAGGAAGCTGTTTGCAGGAAGGCTGATGAAGAAGACGAGACTGTTGACAGCAGCAGGATAGTAAAGTTCTGATATCTTAATGTCATACTCGATCTCGCTGCTGTGAGTCTCATTAAAGTGTATGTAATCATAACTGTCACTGTCCAAAGCCATGATTTACTTGTTTAGGTCTTGGGAGGAAAGTACTGTTGAGGAAATGAAAAAAAAATCTTATACTGTGAAGATGATTTTTTTATTTATTTCTTTATATATAGTAACATAATTAATGCATTTTGGTACAAATATGTTAGTCAAGATAAAAACTAATGCAGTTTAGAACCAATGATTATAAAGTTGAACAGCATAATATTCATGCCTTCAACAGCATTCAGGAAAAATTAAATGTAGAAATGTAAAAAGAATGATATAACATCATAAATCTATGAATGGCAAATAAAGCATGTCCACAGGGGTTATTGTGAACCAGTGAAGAAAATGGTCAAAACATATAATGTTGCTTGCACTGCAGTTTTATTTAATATTCCCTGGTTAATTCATATCGCAGTTATATCAAATTCCACTCCATATTCCTACATTTCCTTACATTTCCTGTATTTCTGTCACAACATTTATTTTTGTTAATAATAAATAAATAATACTTTATTATTGTTATTATAAAAAATAATAAATACTAATATTTTATTATTACATGAATCATTTCTTATGAGTATTATCACCTAATTCAAAAGAGAAAGACAGCCAAGAAGAGCCTACCTTGTGCATGCACTCTGTGTTTCCCTCACTGATTGTGTTAATACACTTACACTTCGTACTAATATGACCACAGAAATTTGCTTTCATTGCATTTTTTCCATCTAGCCTATAATGACATGTGCAGAGATTAGAGAGAAGTGAAAACAGCTTCACTGGATTTCAGTAACATTGTATTTTATTTTTTTACAAAAACAGCATTGCTTGTAAAAGTGCAGTAGAAAACAGATTCCGACACACGTACATTTTGCTTTTACTTGGCACATTAAAATTAAAAATGCATGTAATTTCTACTTAATTTCAGGAGAACATAAAAAAGATGTCAAATTAAATAAGAATATTTACAGATGTTTAACTTCACAAGTGGCTGTTTAACTGATTGTTGTGCAGTTCCAAGTTTATAGCAGAACTCGCAGCTATGAAAACTGCTTTCTGACTAACAGAACTGAGAGATGTGTCTCTCTCTCTGTTCTTCCTGCACAGGTTTTCGCAGCGCAAAAGATTCAACAGATGCTTTCGCATCTTCTGTGAGAGCATATATAGCAGAGGGTTCATACAGCAGTGAGAATAGGCAAGCATTTCACAAATACGGTAGGCAACTTCTAACCGTTCCTCTGCCTTACAACCTATCGGTTTATAAAGAGATTTAATTAAAAGCACAATATGGTATGGCCCCCAGCAAAAGAAAAAGGCTGCAACAATACACAACAGCACAGCTACAGTCCTTGTGCTTCTTTCTGTTTAAACTTGTAAAACTGTCTTGAGGATGGCAGAATAGCAGAAAAATAATGATGGCAAATGGGAGGAAGAATAGCAGTGACACTTGGAGATACGTCCAAGCTTGTCTTCAAGATTGGCTCACAATAGACATTTTCCCAGTCTACTACTTTTACTATCATAGCATCACTCAGGGATGCCGAGATGCTGATGACCCAGGCAGCTATACAGGCACCAACTCCAGACTTCTGCCTTATAGCATGGTTGCTCAGCCGGTTGTGCAGCACCACGAGAATGAAGCGATCCACTGTCATGGCAGTCAGCAGAATGACACTGCTGTACAGCCCAACAAAGTATGCAGCAGTCATGAATTTGCAGGCAAAGTCCCCAAAGACCCAGTGGTGTAAATGATCGACGGCCCAGAATGGAAGTGTGATGGTGAAGATCAAATCAGAGCAGACCAGGTTCAGGATGAAAATATTTGTCATTGTGTTCAGTTTCTCGTAGATGAAAAGAACACATAAGAGGAGACCATTGCCTATGACACTGAGGATGAAGATCAGGATGAAAAGGGGGCCGGTGATGTTTGGAAAGTCAGTCTCACAAAGAAATTCAACATGATCACTCAGTCCATGGTCACTCATTGTGAAGTTGTTTTCCTTTGTCAGTTTTCTAAAAAACAAAAAACAAAAAACTAGATTTTTAAAATGTAATTAAAGACGTTAACTGAGCAGTTCTCTATTAAATAACAGAAATTCTTTATTTTAGTTTTAATCTTTGTCCATTATGTTAGCAAGTGGGAACAGCCAGTTGAAGTCCAACTTAGGAGAAATAATACAGCAACTTACCTCAACAATCAGCTGTCAACTCTGGTGTTGAATTGCGCTCTGGTCAGATAGCTCTGATGGTCTTGACTAAAGTAACAGTTCCTTTTTTTGTTTCACATTAAGTCAGAGAGGCCGTCTTAACAAAAAAAAAAAAAAAAAAAACATGCCCAAAAACCATGGGCAACTTGTTTTTCTGCATTGAAAATCCAACTTTTACATTTTAATATTTTCTCATAGTTTTATTAAAAATGTAACAGACTACAAGCATGCAGCACTAGCCAAAATGAACACAAAAATAACTGCGTGTATTATTTTGTTTATTATTTTGTAAAGCAAAAGAATAATGCTGATGGTATTAGAATATGAAAATAAGCACAATACCCAATACTCTGTTGGGAAGAAGTCATGTTCTGCTGAAAACTGGAAAGATTTTTTTTTTTATTATTATCATGGATAATCAAAGTGACATATATATATATATATATATATATATATCTGTAATACCATGTACAGCATAATCAGCAGATCTAAACACAAATGAAATTGCTACAGCAACAAAAGGTTCTTTGATCATAGAAGAGTTTGGTCAGAAACTATAACCACAGATAAGTACATGAAGCAAACTTGATTAAACATAACATATTACAACATATTACAACATATTACACACCATCGATGTTAAACAGAAGTTTCCCACTTTTCTATTCTTCTTGTTTCAGTTGCACCTTTCCAGTAAATTACACGACTGCACTCTGACCCCAGAACAACTTGAAGTCTTTATGATCCAATCATCTGAATGAGGCTGTTTGAGTTACGATCATAGGTTTGGCAGGATGAACAGCTCTATAATATTTTACTCAGACTTTGTATTAAAAAGTCAGTTTCTGTTATTAGTAACTGCCAGTCATTTCAATTTGTGCTTTTTTTTTATACCATTATCTGTAAACTCCAGAAACATAAGTCTTAATCCCAGATATCTCAAAAAGTTTCTGAGACAATCAAACCAGCTCTTCTGGTTTGAAATCATATAGACCACACTCCATTATGATGTTTATGATGACAATAAACCTCTTGAATATGTGTGCATACTTTGATCACTGATGGCTAAAGACATTAGGAAACCAAATGCAGTTTCACAAAGAAGTAGCAGGTTATGTTGCTCAGTCTATTTTTGGCATTTTATTTTTTATTTAATGTTATTTAGTGAATGTTAATATAAACATATTTGACTGAATAATAAATGGCAAGCAATAATCTGATGAAAATAAGCCGTTATGCTGCATTGATATAGGTTACTGATCAGTAATTTTAAAGAAGAGTCAGAAAATGGTTGTAAAAAGCACCAACATTGGGGGAAATCATTTTGGAAAAACATATTGGCAGTTCATTCCCAAGTGAACCCAGATTCAAAAGAACAATGAAATCCGTTTGAGACATTTTGAGAATCAACTATGTTAATGAACAAGATGTATTAGTTCTGTTTTTTTACAATATCAAGGTGCCTGTGACAACTCTTCACCACTTGTTATCGATATTATTGTGTGCCGGTTTTGTCTGTTGCGAAAGCTGTTATTGGTTTTTTTGCGGCCCAAGCTCTTTAGCATTTTCTTCAAATGGGTTTTGAATTTAACCCCCACAAACACATAAAACACGGGGTTAAGGCAGCATTGTGAAAAGGCAAAAAGTCGAGTAATCTCAAGCGCATAATCCAGATTTTTGCTATATTGACAATCTTCCCCTAATGAGTCACTTTCTCTGGGCCAGTAGGAAAAGGACTGCAGAAATATCACTAAATTGTAAGGTACCCATCCAACAAGGAAAACAACCATGAGAATAAAAATTAGTTTCAAAGTTTTGTTTCGTCTTCTTTGCACAGGATGAAGCAACCTGCACATGATATGAGTGTAGCAAAACATGAATACCACTGAGGTAATTAGAAAGAGGATGTTTTGCTGGTAGATTCCCCACAAGCTCCAATAAGAATCTGCATATACACAGTACTTTGACTCTGCAACTTTGGTGGAAGCAAAAGCTAGACTGGAAACCAGGATGCTAACGACCCAAATGATCGCAGATGCTACAATACTGTAATACCCTGTGGTGGAAACAATGTCAGACAGAGGATTTATAACAGCTATATAGCGGTGAGCAGTCATCAGGATGAGGAGGATACCGCTGCTGTAGAATCCAAGGCAGAAGATAAAGTTCACTATTTTGCATGCATGCTCCCCTAAGGTCCATCCGTGCATGTTGTAGTAGGCCCAGAAGGGCAGAGAAGCTGTGAAGAAGAGATCTGATACAGCCAGATTCAGGATGAAGGTGTTGGTGAGGGATTTCAAATTCTCAAACTTGACCAGCACCACGAGGACCAGGATGTTGCCAAAGATACTGAGAATCACCACAATGGAGAAAAAGACTGGAGTGAAGATCGCTCCAAATTGGATGACACCTGTTTTGTTGCAGAGTTCATCGTAGTCATAATCATAGGGGTACAAGGTTGAGTCAGGGCTGGTGCTGGTAGTATCTACGTTATCCATTGAATCCACTTTCTTCCAGCATAAAGAGAAATTTAAAAAAGACTGTTAGACAGGTATATCAAGTAGGTCAAATTTCACAGTCTTACTTAAGGACTTATAATATTATAAACCTTTGTTAGACAAGGCTATCTAACAAATATTAGCTAATGGTCATTGACTCTGTATTTGGATGCATATCTCACTTTTCTCACTTACTCTCTATTATAATATTTAACCAAGAATACATTTTAAAAGTTATTTATATTTATGGACTTAAAAATGTATTTATGTAGTATATTCTATGCACTGATTTGTGTTTTTTGACAGGATTTTATCAACGAAAACATCAAAGAAGAAATGCAGCAAACCTAGAAGCTAGCAAATAAAAACTAATCAAGGACTGTTTGTGACTGAGCCACTTTTGTGTATATTTAGTCATTGCAATGGGTACAAACTGGCTTGGAGAAACATTGCAGGTTGAGAAGGTACAGCACATTGTGAATTGCCTGACCAAACAGTCTGGTAGAGAACCTTAGAGAAGATGAAGGGCTCAAAGCTTTAAACATAAACCAAAACTTACTTTACCTTTTCACCCTGACTTTTAACTGATTATGCACTATGGAGAGCGATTAGAAAGCAAAAGAAAATAATATAGTATGTGTAGATTATATTATTTAAGTTTATTTTCTATATTTTAGCTCATATTTTTAGCTGTTTTGCTATTTCTTATTTTTACTAAGTATATTTTTCAGTTTTCTTATCAGATTATTAGGCATACACACAAAAGGTGATTTTGTTTAAAGTTTGATTGACTAATTGGTAATTAGAGATGCACTAATCGACCAGTCAGGAAGAGGAGCCATCTGATTGCCAGAGTTCTCTGTCCTGAGCAGTAAGTCAGCCTCCCATATGTCTGACTGTGAACTTCATTCCAAGTGTCATTCAATTGTGCACAGATACTCACAGGTGCACACTAATGTGTCGTTACCGTGGAAGCTCCTCACTGTGAGTGAAGACACAAAGTTGAATTTTGTTTGTTTATGCCATCAAGTACAGGTTTCAGAAATAAAACTGGAACATGAAAAATTGGTACTGAGAGACACTTACAAAAAATTGGAAATTGGAATTGACTAAGAAAATCAATGCATCTTTAATGTTGATCAATATGTAAATGTTGGAATATTGCAAGTAATCAGGATTGGTGGCCTGTTCTTTAAAGCATCTGTAATTTCATGTTTTATGAAAGCCTTGTGATACAAGGCTTATGTTAACACAAGAAGTATCATGTAGAAAATGAAATAAATCATATCAGAATCGGGGTGTAAAGTTAGTAAATCTAAGTAAATATTACCTTACCACACAGAATAAAGATAAGCTACTCCAAGAAGTTTTGTAATTTGAGAAAAAGGAAATTGTTTTGGGTTGCTAGTATAATTTGCTTGAGAATTTCTTTTGCAACAATCCATTCTAAGTAATAAGTAGGATTTTTTTGAAAACATTCTAATTAAAACGTAGAGTTCTAGATTTATTTATGTCAATGCAACTCAGTTTGTTCAGAGAATATAAGATAGCATTAATGATCATAAAAGGGGGGAAAGCCACAAAAAGGCTACATACATTCATTGTGTGCAGTGCACAAAGTGCTGTTGTGTGTCATTGTTTTCAATTTTCTCCATAGTTTCCTTAATCAGTGTCCAGGTTTTTTCACTAAATCAAATGCACAAATTAATCAAAATGTGTGCACAAATCTGCAATAGCAGTCACGCCTGAAAAATGTTCCCACTCTGT